CGTTGTGAGGAAGCATTTTTGTTACGGTGGGACAAGCCAAATAACCTTTCGTACTCTATCCTGACAAGTTGCCATATGCAGGAAAGTCATTAATTGTCTACATAACAGCTGCATGCATTTGAAAACTTAATTCAATTGAGGCATCATAAGTAAGCACACCATCTTCCCACAACTCCTTCAACTCATCAATTAATGGTCGCATGTAAACATCAATATCTCTCCCTGGTGCTTGTGGTCTAAGGATAAGCAATGACAACATACTAAATGATTGTTTCATACATTTCCAAGGAGGCAAGTTGTAAGGCATAACAATCATAGGCCACATACTGTACGAGTTGCTCATGTTTCCAAAAGGATTGAAACCATCAGTGGCCAACCCTAACCTCAGATTTCGACTCTCTTGGGAAAACAAAGGATGTTGCCTATCAAAATCCTTCCATGCCTCACTATTAGCCGGGTGTCTCAATATCCCATCATCTACTCGTTTCTCTTTGTGCCATCTCATATCTATTCTGTTTTTCTCGACATATATAATCTCTGCAACCTTGATGTCAACAGGAAGTATCTTAAGGTCTTGTGAGGAATTTTTTTACCTTTTCCATCATTCAATTTGTATCTAGACTCTTGACAAATCGGACAATTCTCTAAATTTGCATTCTCTTTCCAGAAAAGTGCACAATCATACTTGCATGCATGAATCGACACATATCCTAAGTCTAAGTCACCTAAGAATTTTTTGGCTTCATAAAGGGTCCATGGAATCACTTGATCACTCATCGGTAGAAGGTCCTTTAATATCCCCAACAACATGTTGAAAGACTTATTGCTCCACTTGTTCAACACCTTCACATGAAACATCTTAACAACAAATGATAAAAGAGAAAACTTACGACATCCAGGGTACAACTCTCTTTGAGCATCATTCAACAATTTGTTAAAGTTGGGCACACCCTCTTTTTCAACATTGTTAGCCACATCATTGTCATTGTCGTTCTCATTGTCATCGTCTTCCTCATCCTCTTAATTTTCATCATCATTTATGGTAGTCCCCATGTAAACATCTTCTAACAAATTTAGGCTTTCATCTTGATCTTCGCCTGTCTTTGCTTCCATTCTATCCCCAACACTTCCAAAGTCATTGTGGTTGTCATCATTCAATGCATGAGATTGATTCATGGGAACAGATTCCCCGTGATGCACCCAAGTCTTATAAGAAGGGGACATCCCTTTCACAACTAAATGATACTCCACAATTTTACTAGTATGTCGTTCACAATTCAAACAGTCCATACAAGGGCAACGAATCTTATCATTTGGCCCTACATTCATCATTGCAAATTGAACAAAAACCTTCACCCCATCTCGATACTAGGAACTCATCCTATTCTTAAGTAACATCTAACTCTTGTCCATATTTGGTCACCTACAAAGCCATGGTTATGTGAAATTCCTTTGAATTAGAGAATTTATAAGATTATGGTTCCATATTTTTTCGTGACCCGCAAGATTATGGTTTCACATCCCTTTCATGACCAAATGATACATCACAATAGTAAGTGATAAACAAGAATTACTATTCAAGTAAAATATGCAATTTAGAGTAAAGGGTGAAAAAAAAATCATATAGTAAGCGATGCAATTGATATATAGATTATAATTGCTATATAAATTGTGGTCTTGAAATTGTTACATATTAGTTTAGTTATTCTTGGAAAAGCATATTCATCTATTTTAGCTATTTGACGTATTTCTTTGTTGAGTTAGACATGAAATTGAGATTTTGAAACCAAACACAACAGCCATCCCTAATCATCGCATTTGGTCTTATTTTGTTTACATGTCAAATAGTTCATTGAGTCATCTAAGTGTTTGTCATATTACGAATGCTCAAAACATTAGGTAAAAAATGTGAAGCTTCTAACAGCCACAAATTTAATAAAAAAAAAGTGCCAAAATTCTATAAATAAATTAAAAATGCCCTAAAATATTGTCAAAGCTTACTTGATGTAGTAATTGCCCCCAACGAATGATTGTAGCTTTTTTATCTCTTTGCATTAGCCAATAACCTATAACATTTGAATTGTAAATTAAAGTTTAAATTAAAATCGTACTATACATGAAATTAATGGAGAGTGGGCATGAAATGAATGTCAAATAACATATAAGGATACTCATGTCCTGTCTTCATTTTTTTACACATAATGAAAAAGGAAGAAGAAACTATGTTATCACCATCTTATTAATCATAAAATCTGATTCAATGGTTAAATTTTTAATTTTATTTATTTATTAGAAATTCAAAATTATGAAAGTAATATATATTCAAAACATTAGACAACAGCCCATACAGAATCAGACCTTACACCAAATCTATTAGTAGCCCTTAGACACATTCCTTAACCACAAAACAACAGCAACATCAAGCATCGAGCCAGATAGCAAACATCAAACAAACCAACAACCAATACAAACATCAAACAAACCAACAACCAACCATTCAAAAACAGAAACCTAATTGGTGAGACCAAACACAACACCTGAGCATATAATGATGATCCATTAAAAAGCTCAAATGGGCAAGTAGAGTCAAAGACTAGTGACCCTCTACACCTAACCAGGCATTTGTTACATGCCACTAAACCTAAGCCAAATCAATCATACCAGTGCAAAACTGATCAGACCATGACATCCACAAGGCAAATAGACAGAACAACAAAGACACCGAGACTCCAACAGCAGCATCATATATCAACATTATACAGTGCAGCACCACAGACTGAGCAACAACCAATCGGACATCAGCAGTGATGAGACCAGAGCATACATCAGTAGATTAGCACACAACACTAGCACCAAAGAAAGAATTCTTAAATATTTCCAAATCACTAGTGATAACAAATCCCAAACTAGAAATTCTATTGATTGTGAATAATTCCAGGAATCAAAATTTATGACTAAAAGTGCATTTAGTTAAAAATTTAAAAGAACAACATATTCCAATGAAGGAGGGAAAAATTTAAACAGCGGCCTACCTATTTGGATGGGATGATTTGAAGATAAAATAAAAAGGAAAACAAAAAGACTCTGTTTAGAAAATTACACACAAATTTCATTAACCGATTAACAAGCAATTTCATTAAATTTCATTAATCGCTTAACAAACAAAACACATAAAAACAAAAACACAAACATAATCTGTCTCTACTCATATATATATATACATTGTAGTCTTTTATTTATCATATATTCAATGTAGAATTGCAGTCCCAAAATATATTTATCAATCCTAAAATCTATCTTTACTCATATATTTAAAAGACAGATTTTAATATATATATATAAATCGTTGAAGACAGATTTTAGGACTACAATCTGTCATATATTTATCATATACTCATATATATATATATCTTCAAAATATTAGAGAGAGAGTGAAGTGAATGCCGTCGGTGGAAATCAATCGGTGGCGAGAGAGAGCGAGATGAAAACGAAAAAGAGGAAGAGGGAGAGGGAGACATACATCTGTTTTGCTGTGCGCCGCTTGAGATTGTGGATTGAAAGAGAATTAGATGAACAATGGTTAGAGCTCATTTGTTTATTTAGTAAAAGGATCGGTCCAGTCTTTGAAAAAAAAAATTGAAAAATGCAAAACGACGTAGCTTCGTTTTCTAATTTATTAACGACAAAAATCCTTCGATCGCCATAAGTACCGTTCATCTTTTCCGCGACTATTTCATTTCTGTCGCCAAAACTTTACAATCGGCGACCAAAATTTTCGTCGCTATATGTTAATTTGGTTGCGAAAATATTTTTGGCGCTCCCGCCTAAAAAATTAAGTTGGCACCAAACCTTTTGGCGACAAAAAATCTTAACTTGTTGCCAATAATGTAATTTTTGGCGACCAACAATTATATTGTCACTGATTATATAAAATTGGTGACGAATTTCAGTTTGGTTGCTAAAAAACGTCGCCAAAAATGTTTTTTATTGTAGTGTTATGTGAACTTGTTTTATTTTTCTTTGCCAACGCAAGCTCCAAACCACCTTTTGTCTGCCTTCGTCCCTTGCTAGTGCACTCTCTTCTCTTGAGTCCTTTTGCTTGAACTACATTTGTATCCGCTACACCATCCACTTCAAAGCTTTCGGGGCATGTGTTGGGAGGGATTTCTTGTTCAATAGTATCTAAAAAAGGCATATTGAATTTGCGCTTAACATGCTTTCAATGTTTGTGATTAATTTATCTGCTTTCTCTACCGTCAAGTTATATATTTCCTCATTTTCGGAAGCTCTACATGATATTGCTCTGAAAATTGCCAACAATGATCTATAGCGTGAAGTTTGATGCAATCTTACATCAACCTTAATACCATGCCCCACCTATCTTTCACATTTTCTGCTCTTGCTTTTTTAATCCATCTCTTCAGAATATATTGGGAAGGAATCTCTTTGAATTTGAGGGTGTCTCTAAGGATCTTCAAACAATGACTATACAAAATGCTCTTCATTTCAAACTTTCTACAATTGCAAGTGAGTAAACCATCACACTCTATTCTCACCTTCCTCACCTTTACACCATCACTATCACGAACCGTATAAACGGTACTCTCACCATCATGTTCAATTTCTTCAATGTTTACTTCAAGGGACTTGACATACTCATCTTGAAATTCTTCATAAATTTTATTTGTGTAAACATCTGTAGCTTGCTCCATAATCTTCACTTTAATATTCACCCTTGGCAACTTTTGGCATAGAGCATATTCGACTTGTACCTCTTCTCACAAAGAACCTGATCAAAATGCATGAAAAATTGCATTAAGTTATGATCAGACTGAATGGAAATCCTTCAAGAATGCATTAACGGATTCACTAAGTTGGGCGCTACTCATGCCCGCACCCTATGCATTTCTAATATATAGCCAACCCTATTTTTCCTTGATCCCATATGTTAACTTCAATCAATGATTATCTCACACTTCATATTTGTCAAGCATTTCCTCTCATTTTAACGTAAACTCTTCCTCATCTTCAATGTCGTACATAAATTTGGATAAAACACTCTTCACCCCCTTATCCTTGAAGATAGAATTTGCATGCCTTAATGCATTTTGCATCAAATGCCCAGTGCAAAGGTGGCATTTTGTGTTAGGCATGACAATAGGTATGGCCTTAGCCATTGCAACATCCTGATCCGTAAAAATTATTTTCGGAGCCTTACTTGACATTGCCTCCAAGAATCTTCTAAAAAGCCATATAAAAGAATCGGCAGTCTCATCACACATCAACGCTGCGCCAAATATAATAGTTTCCCTATGATGGTTAAATCCAACGAAAGACGCAAATGGTCTATGTGCACTATTTAACTTGTAAGTAGTGTCGAAAGTCACATCACCAAATTGCCCATAATCCATGATCATCTGAGCATCAACCCAAAATATATTTGTAATATGCTTTTCGCTATTTAATTGGGCCAAGTAAAAAAAAGATGGATTCTCCAATCTTTTCTCACGAAAATATTGCAAAATGCTACCTGCCTCCCCATATGCTAAACTCTTTCGCCTCTTTATTCTCAAATAATTTTTTTGGTCCAGTTTTGTGAACCCAAGCAACTCCCTTCCATCAGCTTCATTGCTCATGAGCTCAAATGCAGCATTAAGACGGATTTTAAATTTTTTGGCTAAATCTATTTCGGTTGCTTGTGATGCAAATATCTTCTTTTGGGATGGTAACATATGCGTATATTTTGCTGGTACAAAGATATGATTATGTTGTTCAACAAAATCACCAACACAAAATTTCTGAATATTCTTATCATACTTAATGATAAGTCAGGCTTGACAACCAGTCCTCACTTCCTGCCTAGGATTTTTTGTTAATGGATCTCGCTTGTCGATAACCCGAAACCCCTCCTTATTACAAACAAATAGCCTTGAAGTGATTTGCCCCTCCTTGCTCTTGTTTACATAACCCCTTCTAATCCTAAAGCCTAGCCTTCCTCCATAAGCATTATAGAAATCATATGCTTCTTGTTCTGTATCAAATGTCATGTGAACTCTAGGCTTCCATCACAATCACCCCCGTCATTCTCAACATTGTTAGGTTCCATATCAATATGCCAAGTCACTTAAAAAATAAAAAAGTGCTCAATATTAACATAAAAACGGTAAATTATGTTTGCAAAATAATATAAACTGAATAAACAAGAATTGACTCATATTAGATTATATAAACAAAGGGAAACAAAGGGGAACAAATTCCTTTAATAGTAAATTATGTTTTCAATGATCCAAATTTAACCCAAATCTCTTAATTTTCTTATAATCAACATGTGAACATACAAAATCAAAATTAAACAACAAAAACAAACAAAATAAAAAAATAAAAAAAAGCAAACAAAAACATAAATTAACAACAACCAAAACCCAAGTGGCAACAACATTAACAAAATAAAAAACTGAATAAACAAGAATTCACTCATATTAGATTATATAAACAAAGGGAAACAAAGGGGAACAAATCCCTTCAATAGTAAATTATGTTTTCAATGATCCAGATTTAACCCAAATCTCTTAATTTTCTTGTAATCAACATGTGAACATACAAAATCAAAATTAAACAATAAAAACAAACAAAATAAAAAAATAAAAAAAAGCAAACAAAAACATAAATTAACAACAACCAAAACCCAAGTGGCAACAACATTAACAAAATAAAAAATTAGGTATCTCACCATAAATAAAAATAATAATAATAAAAAAAGAAAGAAGGAATCTCTGAATTCAGAAACAACATTACAACATTGTGCATTGTTCACAAACAAAATATAAAATTAGGTATCTCACTGTAAAATAAAAAAAATAATAATTAAAAAAAGGCGTAACAGTGAACTTCCTAAGTATTTTGTTTAGAATGCAATGCATATTCTTCAATGAACAAACATATATATTGTTCTTCAGTGGGAGGGTTCTTTAAATGAAAAATATCCACATGTAGTACATGAAAAACAAGCTATTGTAATAGAAGATGAGGGTCCAAACAAGCTATTGTATTTTGTTTAGAAGATTACTATAAATACCTATATTTTTTCTTCAATCGGCTGGAGCAAGGGCTCGGCGGAGGCAGAACGGCGGCGACGGTTGGACGGCAGCAACGGCGGGGCGACAGCTAGACGGCGGCACTCCCGCCTCTCTTCTCTCTCTCTCTTTTTTTTTTTTTCTCTCTCTCTCTCTCTGTTGCACTCCGGCCTTCTGCTTTTGCTATACCTGCGAGTATATAGAAGGAATTTTGAATTAAAGCTAATTTTTTTTTTATTTTTTATTTTTCAAATTATTAACCAAAACGATATTGTTTTGGTTAGTTTTATTTTCAGTCGTTGGATTCTTTCACTTTAGGAGATCACTTTAGGGTTTCATTCTAGAGGATCCTGATACATCTTATCCATGCTTTCTTCTAAGCAAGACCATATGGCTCTCTAGAAAACCAGTAATTGTGCAGTCCATTAACTTATTTCGAGATTCATTTTAATAATTTGAATCGTTCACTTTTTAAAATATAATGAATAAAATATTAAATTGATCAGATATCGAAAGTCTTTTTATCAAATTATATTTATATTTAGTTTTATATTTTAAATTATATTTATTATTATTTTTTAAAATACAAATGCAATATCGATATTCAATGAATTTAATATTTCACAAATATGTTTTATTCGATATATTTTAAAAATAAACTATTCAAATTATTAAAATAAGTCCCAAAATGAGCCTTATGAGCCGCACAACAGTGGCTAATGTGCCTTCCACACAACAACCACTCCAAGACACCCATCCCAATTTCGGCCTATTTTAGGAAATAGGTTAAAAATTAATTTTTTAACTTTTGAAAACTTTTTTTAAAAAACGTGTAAAAAAATAAAGAGATGATGTGATAAAAAAAAATTAAAAAGCTAACTTTTAACTAAATTGTAAAAATTTTGAGAAAAATTCTCTACAAATAAGTTTTTAAAAGTAATCAAACAAAACAAATTTTTCCAAATTTTTTTTCCAAGACTTGTTTGGTTTACAAATTTTCCAAACAAATCTCTCTCTCATATATATCAAATCAATCACTTTTTCCAAAACTTTCTCTCAAAATAATTTTTCAAAACATCTTTTGAAAAAAAATCAAACCAAATAAATTTTCGTACTTTTTATCTCAAAATATATTTCTCAAATACAAACCAAACAAGGTCAGAATCTCTCATCCCACTTCTTATTTATAAATTTTTTCTTCTTAGGTTTTATGGATGCGAGTGTTGAATGTTGATCTTGTTTTAGATTTATTCAAATATCAGTTTTTATTTTTTAATTTTTTCAAATAGTTTTTAAATTTGACATTAGGTTTTTTTTTAATTTTTTTTTGGTGTGTGTGTGGGCCCTTGTTTGATTTTTGAGTAAATTACACCCATTTTTTTTAAAAAAATTTAAAAAATTACAATTAGTTTTATATTTTGACATAATTATATTAATATTTATTTATTTATTTTTTATATCTGAGACTTTTTTATCAATAATTTGTGAATCATATAAATGAAAAAAATAATATTATTATATTATTTCTAATAATATGTGGATAAATTTTTGTTTATTTATGTGTCCACGTACTAAAATAAAGGTTAGTGTAATTATATTAAATTTATAAAATTAATATGTTTATCAAATTTTAAGTGAGGTGATTGTAATTTATTTATGATTTTTTTACCCATCCGACCATTGTGAGAAATTATTCGTTGGTCCTAAGGAACAATTATGAAAATGTTTGAGGGTTATAATTTTTGTGATTATAATGGCTCAAAATTGTCAAAATGACGTCGTTTTGACAATTTTGAGCCATTGTGGCCACAAAAATTGTGACCCTTTAACATTGTTGAACAATCATATTTTAGGTGTGTTCTCATCAGTAGATGTTAAAATTTACAATTTGTACCGAATGATTAAGAAATATAAAAAAATATAAAAATATGTGATTAGTGAGGGGACATGGCTATGTGATGCCACTAAACCAACTAATAATTTTTCCACATGTAGTGTGTATAGTAACTTTTGTGCAGCCCTCCACACTAAATCAATTCTGAAAACCCTATCTGAGCAAAGAAGCCACCCTTCCTCATTGGAGATCATTTCAAACGGCGCCTCAAACTCGACTCGCTTTCTACTAATCTCTCTCCTCTGCCCCCCTCTCTGGGTTATAGAAGCATCAGATCTCTCTCTCTCTCTCTCTCTCTACGTTCTTCATCTTCCCTCAGGCTCATCCAACCGTTGCATCGTCCTGTCAATCCGGTGTCGCATTCAAGGTACTATGAAGTTGATTTTGTCATATGTTTTTTTTTTAAAAAAAAAAAAATCGGTGCAGTTTTTTTTAATGATGATTGGAAGTTGTTTATATTCTCAGATTTACAAAATTTTTTGTTTGCCTGATCTGTGTTGAAAAAAAAATTTTAAAAAAAAAATCATATTTTGATTTCCAAATTTTATTCACATCAACAGCCTAAATCCTAACCCTAAACCCTAAACAGCTGATATTGTTATTTTTTGGGTTTTTTCAAAAGCATTGGTTCGTTTGTAAGTAAGAATTTAGAATTTATCTTGTTGTTCTGTTAAGCAAGAGGACCAATAATTCAGAAAAGATAAAATCTTTTGCTTACTTCATCCATATGAGACTTAGTTTAGCTTATTACTGCTTGTCCTTGCTGTTGAACATTTGGAATTATGTTGGCTTTAGTTTTTCACCATGCTTTTGACAGTTATCATGTGCTTGAATAATTTGTCTTCTGTTGTGCCTTGTGTTCCCTTGGGATTGGACCCTCGTTTGTGATTTGTTAGTGGCTTTAGGATCTCAACATTGATGATTTAGTCTAAATTGTTATTTGCTTTAGGATGTTATTGTTTTATGTTAAATTGTTTCCATGAAAAGTGTTGGTGGCTATGTTGTTTTTTTCTTCTTCTCCTGAGTATTGGGTATGTGTACAGAGAGGCTGCTTCCTCCAAAAATGGAGAAAGGAGGAAGAGAGAGAGAAGTACCAATATTCAGAGATATAAGGCGATACTACTGCAAGTATTGTGGTATCTGTCGCTCCAAGAAGTCTCTCATCACCTCTCATGTCCTCTCTCACCACCAGGTTTGTTGCTTATACATGGACATGTCTATACATGTTATTCTTCAATTCTTGTATCATGGATAATAAAAAAAATTACATTTTCAGTTCAGTTTATGTGGTTGATCATCAACCGATCCATGTTTTTTATTTTGTCCAAATCCAATCAAGTGTCAATGATCTAATGACCCACTACTTTAATGACCCAAATTTATTTATTTTTCTCCCTTTTTTGTCCGGCTGATTCAATTTGATTTGATGTGAGTTGATAATTTTTGATCTCATATTTGTTAATTGATTTCGTTATTTGCATTTCCTGGGCTTCATTTAGGATAAAATTGAAGACAATGATGGTGTTGATGGAAATGGAGAAAAGAAGGAAGTGAAGTCAAATAATACGTGTGAACAATGTGGCACAAGTTTTCAAAAACCTGCACATTTGAGGCAACATATGCTAAGCCATTCAATCGAGGTATTCATAATTATTGTTGTTGGTTTCACATGTTTGTATATGCATTAATAGCATGCCTTGATATCTCTTTCTTGCTCCATGGTTGGTAAACGGCCCACCTTTATAGCTTGTAGTTAATGATTTGAGATTCAGTTTTTTCTTTCCTAACTTTGTTGGGTTGGGTATATTGTTTCTTGTTCCTTATTGTGGGAGATCTTCTTGATGTTTAATTCTGGAATGTGCTGTTACTTTCTTGGCCATTTGAGTAATATCTAACAATCCACTCGTTGTTGAATAGTCAAAATGATTTTTTGGTTGCCCAGTTAACACGCTAATTTGTTATATCAATAATTTTCTGTTATAGTTGCAATGTGACTGTTTATAATATTTTTATTTGTACTAGATGTACGCCAAGAAATATGCGACAGTGCTATGGTAGAAGCTGGCCTTATTCCTTTCAAAGGGAAGAATTTTTTGAATTTCAATTGTTCACCAAGTGCCTTTTAAATGTTGATCCATAAATTACTAAATTTTGTGCAAGTATGAATATATAAGTAGATATACATTTGCAAACATGTATGACTAGTTAAATTGTTCAGATCAGATCTAGTATACATGTTATACCTATTTTTGTCCGGGAATATAATTATGTTTTTCTACATCCTTATGGATGATGAAGCTTTAGCATGTGCTTTGGTTGGTTGAATGTACAAAGCTTATGTTTCTGACTTTTTTTCTTCCCTAATCACAACTTGGCATCTGTTCAAAATAAATAATTGTGCAGGGCTAAAAGTTTTAAATGATTGAAATAATATGACAAAACCCATTGATGTTGTTGTGTGAAGCATTGGATCCCAAATAAAGAACTCCAAAATGCGAGAGGCAGCAGTCTCTTCCTTGAATGGATTAGTACCAGGCAGGGGGACCTCCTGAGAAGCTCCATCAAGTAAGCCTCAATCACGCACTGTTCCATTTTAAGGTTTGACGGCTTCTTCATTTGTGTATTGTAATTGAGTTCATGAAATCTATGAAATTTGAGCTTTTAGGTACTTAACAAAGACTATATATTGTATTGCAGAGGCCATTTACTTGTCCACTGGATGATTGCAATTCCAGCTACAGAAGGAAAGACCACTTGACGCGACACCTTCTTCAGCATCAAGGGAAACTTTTTGAGTGCCCTGTTGAGAATTGCAACAGCAGGTTTGCTTTTCAAGGTAATATGAAGAGGCATGTCAAGGAATTTCATGAGGAGGAATCATCTTCTTCCAATGGCGATAATGGTCCGAAGCAGTACATCTGCCAAGAAATTGGGTGTGGGAAGGAATTTAAATATGCATCAAAACTGCGGAAGCATGAAGCTTCTCATGGCAAGTTGCTTTCTTTTGAATTTTCATCTTTTTTGTTATTATTCTTCTATTTAAGTGGATGATTAGTGGAACAAATAAGCTCTCCATTCTTCTATAATGAATTTGCAATTTGGAAAGCCCCCCTGATAAAACCCTCCACAATTGCAGTTGAGTTGGTTACAGTGGAGACATTTTGTTCAGAACCAGGCTGTATGAAAAATTTTACTAATTTGCAATGCCTCAAGGCCCATCTCCAGTCTTGCCACCGACATATTACCTGTGAGGTATGTGGGACCAAACAACTGAAGAAGAACATCAAAAGGCACCTCCGGACCCACGAAGCAGGGTGTTCATCTGAGAGAATTAACTGCAATTTTAAGGGTTGCCAACACACATTTTCAACTGTAAGTTGCAGCTAGCCTTTTGATAATTTCATATATAATTTATCTAGCTGTTTGGTGAGGTTGTAAAGCAATTTTTTATTCTGCAAAGCAATAAATTTTGTAGAATGCTGGACAAATGATGCATTACCCTTTTAATCTAATATCATTTAATTAATTAGCTCATTTAATATTGTATTAGTTTTAATATTTTTTACTTAATATGTACTTTTGTCAGAGATCAAATCTCCATCAACATGAGAAAGCTGTGCATCTTGAACTCAGGCGTTTTGCTTGTAGCATTACCGGTTGTGGTATGAGATTCACATTCAAACATGTGAGAGATAAGCATGAGAAATCTGGTTGCCACGTTTATACCTATGTAAGCTTTGTGCACCATTTGGGTTTTTCTTTTCCCTTCTCCAGGTAGGGTGGTGTAGTGAACTGATTTCATTATTTGCTTTGGGTTCAGGGGGACTTTGAAGAGTCTGATGAACAGTTCCGATCAATACCAAGGGGTGGGCAGAAAAGGAAGTGTCCAACTATAGAAACTCTCACACGGAAGAGGGTTTGCCCTCCAAGTGAATCGGATTCTATTATGAATCAGGGTCCTGATTACCTCTCCTGGTTGCTCTCCACTGAAGCTGAGGATGATGGCCAGCAATGAGTTATGCCCATTAATTTTAGCGCCATCTAGGTTCAATTTTGATCTCTTAGTTGTATTTTCTTCCTCTTTGGGGTTCTGTTATAAGCTGTGTGTTTTACATGTTGTATAGAATTAGATACGAATGGTATGTTGTATTGTGCGGGTCTTCATGTCCTCTGCATCTATTGTCCACAATGAAGCCATGTAATATTGAGCTAGGGTTTATGTTGCTGTGTATTGTGTGCTTAATTGTTCCATGTTTTGCCCATTTCTATGAATGATATGTCAAATCTTTTGTAGTCCACAAATGTTGGCATGAATTGTAAGACGGGATGTGGCACCTAAAGAAAACACCCAAAAATAAATAAATAAATAAACCTAATCAGCAGAAGCAGTGCAAGCTGTTATTTTTGTTAAAGTGCGATGCTTCTATAAATTTCTCGAAACTCCTTAGATCTGTAATTAAACCTGCTCATGATTGGGCTAAGATGATGACTAGTAATGATAAGCTCTATTTATACATACTAGTTGGATAGCCTGTGTGGGGTTGCATTGTTGTTGGCTGGGAATAATAGCCAATAGCGAGGCAACACATAGTTAAGAAGGTATATGTGATTTAATAAGTATTTTATTTATTTATTTGTTTTGGAGAAAAGATAAAGAGCAATAATATAGAAATATATGCAAAAGAATGTTACAAAACATTGAGAAAGTATGTCAGCCCCTTCTAGAGGCTGCCTTTGCTACTTCATGGGTACCTTTCACTACTTGCCTAGATACCTTATTTACACATACAAAATCAAAACATTTACAAAGGTAACTAATATCTTGGACAGCCAAAACCAAAAGCCAAAACTCAGAAAGAAGAAAATAGAGGGAAGAAAAAAATATGTTGTGAATCAAAAGAAGAGCCAATCTAACAGTTTGTTCAGCAAAACAAAACTAACAGTACCTCACTTGAGGACTGTTCTATAGCTGGAGTTACTTCCACAGAAGACACAGACCCTGTTACTTGTATTAGGGCTGAGTAAAGAATTCGTAAAATCAGTAATTCGATCCAGTCCAATCCGATCCGATAGGTTTGGATTGGTTTTTTAAATCCGCTGTTCGGTTCCGGATTGAAGAATTAAAAATCCGTAGTATACGGATTGGTTCTGGATTGAACCCCACGGTTCCGGATTGGAACCGATCCGGACCGCATACAAATAGTATATATTTTTATAATACATCCTCTCCCATAGTATCTTCTCTTATTTTATATAAAATCTAAACTCAAACCTAAAACCGTATAATATCTTCTTTTATTACTTTTGTTTGTTAGTTTTTAATTTTAATTTGTAATGGTTTAAATACTTATGGTGAAACCAGTTTTCTTATGGTTGTTTAAATTCTAGAACAGTATGTCGTTATTATAGAAAAACATGTTGCTATTATGGAACTAATATAGCGCTATGTTTATATTTTTATGAAATTAAAGTGTTATATATATATATATATATATTTTTGTTATTTAATTATGTGAATCCGTGGTCCTAAACCGATCCAATCCGTATTTAAATGGATTGGTTTGGATTGGTTCCATGATTTAAACGGATTGGATTGGTTCCAATTTTTCAGGAACCGTAGATAACGGATTGGTCTTGATTTTACCCCAATCCAGTCTAATCCGGACCATGCTTACCCCTATTTATGCATAGAAGAGTTAAAAAGCTAATAAGTTAAATAAGAGATTACTAAATAAATTAACTTCTGTAAGTAACAATTTATTTATCAACTTATTTTAAGCCAATAAGTTAATTTAAAAGTAGTGTGTCAAAGAAAACTTAAAAAAGCCTTTTTATAAAGTGCTGAGTTAAAGAGAGAACAAGCCTCACATAGAAATGATGGGTGGGGGAAAAAATTAAATTACAATTTCTACTGGAATGAAAGACACCCCCCATATACATATATTGTTTGATACCTCACCAAATGAACTGCAATAAATATTATGTTATATCACTCCATGACTTGAATAAATAAATTACAGTAACAACCATATGTTTCCAAGAGAACCTCAAATTTCCATCAGAATTTAGATATTCATCTAACAATTACACATACTAGGTTACAAAGAAGGATCACAATTGGGAAGTTTAAATCCCACAAGAAGTATCAATAATACTATCAGTCAGCTAATCTCCATGAAGCAATCCCAAAAAGAAGAAAAAAAATGACAATGGCAAAAAAGATAAAAAGCTAAAAACTAAAACTAGTGAAATATCTAACGCAGTTAGTCTAATGTGAGAATTATACAATACCAAACCATCAACTACTTTTTGTCGCTATTCATGTTGCTCTTCATTTTGTAGCATTTGCAGAGAAGAAAAGAAGCAACAACTGAAGGATGTGACAAAAGAAAGGAGTGGGTTGTGGCCAATTTGCCTGTTTTAAGACATCAATTCTTCTGAGATGGATGATGAATTGGTGCTGATCTTCATGCCTTTGCCGTAAGCAGCAATGAGTAGTGCCTCAGCTCGACCTGCAAGTGCCAGATCCACAGAACATAAAAAGCTATAGAGGACGTAAGTAGTTAGTGTGAACAACACAGGCACAAATAACTCTTTTGCTGAACCAAACGTATCATTTGTTTACCATAAGAAACGATCATTACCCCATGCTGATCTAACCCGGAACAAAACTATACTTCCACTTTTTTTTTGGGTGGCCTCACAGCCCCAGCTTTTAAACCATTGTACAGATGAACTAAAAAACACCAAGATAAGCTGCCATTAGAAAATTAAAAAATAAAATAAAAATCATGTAGCCTACAGTTTGATGGTGATATATGACCCCTTGCCTGTTTTTCAAAACAATGGCAGAATAGGTTGAGGGAATGAATTGCTTGGCTTGCAAATATGTGCACTGTAGGGGTTTGTGGCTCCTTCAGAGAAAGTGAACTTCCCTCAAACTAGGGTGTTCTGATCCCCAAGCTTTGTTTTCTATCTTAAGTTTAAACTGTTGAATTCAAAGAACTAAAAGAGGGAGGTGCTCAACAATTTAGACATCCAATTACGACTGTGGAAAAGACATCGCCCTGGTCCGCTATTGCCTTAAAACTGAGCCGAAGCAAGTCAATTTGAAATGTAAATTCGGGAAATTGGCACTGGAGAATACTGATCTTTCAGATCGCTTTCCATTCGTACAATAGTGTATTACAGGGTATTAAGAACACAATGGAATTCAAAGGCGAGTGCAGGAGAATCAAATGAACAAGGAAATAATTCGTTCTTTCCAGGGTTTAAGAACCAGAAAGAAGATGAGGATTGCCTGGCATAGAATTCATCCATACTGATGTCTCATTATGTGGATGGAGAAATTGTTCTGCACAAAGAGGCCGCAACTTGACATAAGTGATGACGCCACCTATCAACGATGTTGCAACATCGTTACAATCGATCCAATGAGGATGTTGGACTGATGCTGGTGGGCTGACAAACTTACTTTGCATTGGAGGAAAGTATCTGAAGCTAGATGAATAACGCTACATTGTCAAATATATGTATGACAACATTTCTCTATCAAAGATGGAAGACCTTCAGTCCGGGCGTGAAAAACTTTTGACCTCCAAATAAAGCATGACTACAGGAAAAAGAAGACAACTACCATTATGGTAGATGATATACAAAAAAAAACTTGGAAACCCATTTCCATTTTATTGGATAGAGGATGAGAACCACCTAGGAAGAATGGACACTCCAAAATGGATTTTGTGTCTGTGTTTGACACCGACATGATGCGTACGAATGTGTCCACCTGTCAAACACGCCACACCCTCTCCCTGCAAATCAAGTTATAAACAAAGATAGAGTTTGGCAACGAGACAGTTTCAGCTAGCTGAGACGAGGTCGGTTATAACCACCCTAGTTCTTAAATGTGCCTTCATCTTTTCTAGATTCTATAGTTTCCTATATGTGTATGTGTTCTCTCTTTTGTAGATTCTATAGTTGTCCTTTGTTTTTGTTTTTATGCGTACGAATGTGTCCACCTGTCAAACACGCCACACCCTCTCCCTTCAAATCAAGTTATAAACAAAGACAGAGTGAAGGTGAATAAGAAGAGATGATGATGATAAACACCACTCAAATGTGACCATGGTAATATAGGAAGCATAGACATGCATCCCAGGTGCCCACATGCAGTGGCGGAGCTAAAAATTCAAGGCAAAGGGGGCACATATTATTCACATCATTGAAAAGAAGGGGAAAAAAAACCCCACAATAAACAACGAGATACTATTAAATTTATACATTTTTTTGAGGGTCTATTTGTTGAGATTTAATATTACAATTATCGTGAAAATTACATTAATATAGCTTAGAAATCCACAATCAACAACCCAACTGAATTTATGATTAACAAATTCAACACTATTAATCAACTCAACAAAAAATCCCATTATGGAGAAAAACAATCAACTAAACAAATCCCATAATAAAAAAGAAATGTTCAATTAATTCAATTCTTACCATTGACTTTCCAGTCCAGGGTGTAAAAGAATGAACAAAAAAAATATAATAGAACACTTTTAAAATTTTTAAAACGAATTTTACATTATTTAAGGAGGGGCACTATTATAATTTTATAAAGGACACAAAAGATATAACCTTCATATATAAGGGAAATAGTATAAACATGAAAAACTTAGGGAGGGGCATGTGACCCCCCGGTACTATATTGGCTCCGCCGCTGCCCACGTGAGACTTGTTGGACAACAACATATGTTCACCCATGCATTCACACATCCTACTATTTTATTTTTAATTTTTAATAATCTGGACACTTCTTGAGCATGCAATCTGCACGTGTTAAATTTTTAAGGTTTTGTCATACATGTCTAGGGTTTTGTGGAAGGTTTAGCAAAAGATAAAATAAGAGGCAATCTAATAGAATAAAGCCCTGCCTCAAAATAACATTAGAAACAAAAATAGAATAGGAATACGAAGAATTAATAAGCACTACTCAAGTTTGGCAACGAGACAGTTTCAGCTAGCTGAGACGAGGTCGGTTATAACCACCCTAGTTCTTAAATGTGCCTTCATCTTTTCTAGATTCTATAGTTTCCTATCTGTGTATATGTTCTCTCTTTTGTAGATTCTATAGTTGTCCTTTGTTTTTGTTTTTGTTTTTTTTGTTTTGTTTTGACACATTTCACAGTTGTTAAATATACCCATTAGTCCTTGAGCATTTTATTTTTTGAAACCGTACACCCTATTAGTTTACTATCTATATATAAATACTTGGGACTTTCAAAATGGAAATTGGGGTATTTTGCTCCCAATTCTTTTCCAACATATAAATGACACTAATTAAGTTACTGTTAGAAATTCTAGTATCTGTATTCATGTTATGTCATATTTGTGTCATGTGTCTATATTGTGTTTACCAGAGAACAATCCCAAGTTATCAAAAATATATATATATATATATAAATTCTAAGTTTCAAAAAGGCTGAAATTTTATGAAGTCCAAATATCAAATTTTAAATGCGTTGAAAAAGTAAAAATAAAAGTGTCTTCTCATGTTAGTACGTAAATGCCTATAAAGGTGCTAGTTGGAAACTTGAAATGCAATTCAGCATATATCTATGCTATAGTTAAGTAGAACCAACTCAAGGCAGGAACAACCCAGTGTGTTTTTAACTCCCGTGATGAGACAAAATAAATAAAAAACAAACTGTTGTCTCAATAATTTCTCCATAAAATTTTGCGAATTCAGTACACCTTGATTCAGAAAAAATAATTCAGCATTCCAAATGCCCTCCCCTTACTGAATTTTCCAACAATCTCATTTGCATATCCTTGGGTTGGTTCAAGGTATTATTGCTTTGCTTCTTACTTGAGAAGATCTTTTACTGTTAAGCTATATTTGCTAGCAAAAGAGCCTATACTATGTAGTTTCCTTCTGTCTTTATAGCAAACAGAAGTCATTAAAGAGAGCAAAAAGGAAATATGTATCTAGGAGAGTAATATACCATGATCTTTCTTCCTTTTCAACAGGGAACTCATAGATGGAAATAATGTGGATGCAGCTTCCCTGCTTTCATCCTGCCAAATTTGGACATCTTTGATAAATTAAAGGATGCATATATAATTCTCATAAAATAGCATATAAGTTCTAAGAAAAAAATGAGTATGAATGATGGCAGTATTAGCATCTTCATTTCAAGTATTTTGCTGTTGGGTTCGTAAACCCATCAACCTGTCATTTTTTGTTGAGTAGTGCCATTCCCATTTGTAAACATGTTGGAAGGTAGTAAGAATTCCATGGGCAACAATGAGAGTGGGTTGAATTGTGTTGGGACTCTTGGTGATAACTCATCTGTTCAGATTAATCCTGTCAAGTAGGATGGCAACAACTATTTGATTTGATCATACTCTTATAGCTTGGCAATCGTCTCTCGTAGCCAAACTAGTTGATTCAACATCTAGTGCATGACTAAACAAGTACATTAATCTTTAGAAGTACATAGCAAAGTCTGGGTCCAATGATCATTAAGAAGCCTTTTTGATCCAAAGAAAAGTGTTCATGACAGTGTTTAGTGGTTATACGAACTTAGAAAATATGAGGAAGAAGAACTCCGAAAATATGAGGAAGAAGGAATATATTTCTGTTATATTCAAAACTTCTTATTTTACAAGACCAAATGACACTCCTTATATAGGAGATATTACAAACATCATCATAACCCATTATATGCCACTTACATATTATATATTACCACTATCTACCACTATCATATTATATACACGCCACTATCTTATTATATACATTAACACAAATTTTCAGAAAAAAAAAAGGAAGAAATAATATGACCAAAAAGTTTCCAAATTATTAAAAGCCAAAATTTCACTTCTAACCAAGTTCCCAAATTAAGTCTAAGTGTGAATAGAATAGGATAGAGAAAATATTATGGGAACAGAAGTTGAGAAGTACATATTTGTACACCACCAATCCGCTCACTTCGCATTATTGCTATTATTGTTTTATCATTTTGTCCTTCAAGCAAATTATCAACTAGGATAAAAAGTACACCTTTCGCTTTCTTTTTTTTGTGTGGATAATTGGGTATCTAGACACATTTCTCTTACCACCGTTGATCTCACATATCGTGACCTCTCTCTTTAGTCACTCACCATTGTTAATCGCCAACCATCATGATAAATTCCATCATCATCTAGAAAAAAAGAAGGGATTAGTGAAGGTGAAGGGCTAGGTTGTCACATTTGAAGGGGCAGGTGGGGCACAATAGAGATGAGGTTGGAGAAGGGGCAATTGCAAAAGAAAATAGTGGTGTATGTGAGGACATTGGGGAGAGAAAGGATTGGGCTAGGGTTGGAAGGCACTTGGAAAAGAGAAGATAGAGAGAGAAGGGGGTTGGAAAGGGTGTCAATATTGAGACGAAAAGCAAGTGGTGGTTAATGGGGTTTGGTTTAGTTTTAGAATTTGATGGATGAAGGTGTTGGTATTATAGGGATTAAGTGGTAAGAATTGAGTAAAAATAAAAAATAAAATAATGTATCAAATAATGGTGTAAATTGAGATAAAATGATATATAAATATATATCTATATATATATAAATAAAAGTTATCAAAAGTTGAAATAAATATTGAATATAATAGTTAACAAGATTGAAAATTTTAAAGTTATGGTAGTGTGATGGTATTATGGTAATGAAAATTACATAATTACATAATTAAATTAATCAAAGATAAAAATTGTCCATTTAATTTATTTATTGACCAGTGACTATTGCTCTCAACAATTATTGAAAAAAGTTAGAAGACAGTAGAGAAATGAAAAAATTATTTACCAAAAGGTAAAATGTAATTTTTACTGTAATTTTTTTACACATAAAAAATTACACACCCCATATATTTATAAGTATTTTTAATATTCTACATTCATTTGTAATTTTTCATAATTTATTCTAAAAGTTCAACTCTTTCTCTTGGCAAAACTATTCGACCTATTTCTATTTAATCCAATCCAATTTTAATAAAAAATATTTGGGGAGACCATTGTTAAATTATAGAGTTAAGAAAATCAAAACTCTCCATATTAAAATAAAATATAAAATTATATCATAAAAATAAGGATAAATTACAAATACACCCTTTGAGGTTTGATTAAAATATGAATCGCCCAATATAGTTTTGAAAATTATATTTCACCTCAGAGGTTTCTAATTTCATAACAAATCGCCCCTTTTATTAATAAATCATCAAGTTAAGTAACAGTTTTTAATGATGTTAAAAATAGATTTCAATTAATAATTTAAGTAATTTTATTATTGTATAGAAGAGTAATTATGAATTTTATTTTTTTAGTTAATTCTGTTAAATAAAAAATTCTAATAAGGGGATATTTGTAATTTTTTAAATCACAAGAAATAATCTGTATTTTAATTGTTCGGGAAATTTTAAATAAATTATATTTTATTTCAAATTTTTTTTAGTGATTTTTATTTTATTTGAAAAAAATTTAATTTAAATATTGACTCAAACATCCAACAGTCTGGTAAATAATACTATTAAAATATGATGAGATTTTTTTTAAAAAAAAAAATCTGAACAAAAATTAAAAACTCTTTGTTTTTGAGATTTTAAAAATGATTTTTAATTTTTTTTTTGTTTTTAGTGAAATTTTTCAATATTTTTAAAAAATTCGTTTCTTAACTTATATGGACTTGAAAAATAAAATATTTGTAAATAAATTTAGAAAATGAATTTTGTATGAGAGTAATAATTAAAACAATTTTTTAAAACAACCCATCAAAGAGGATGTAAGTATTCGCATAAATTTAAGCGTACAATTTTTTATGTTTGTATTTTTTTAAATAAAAGCGAATATTCAGCCTATTTTTCGTTATTATTGTTTGGATTTTTATAATCGAACAATTTCATTTTGTTCTGAAATATACAGCCGAACAAAGTGAATTTGTTCGTTTATAAGAGTTTGAAGAATAATGACGAAAAGCATGCTAAATATTCGTTATTTTCTTTTTCCATCCTCCTTCGCTGGTATTGGGTTTCGTGATCGTATTCCATGTATATACGTGAACAAAATAAAGGTTTTTCAAAAGTAATTTAAAATTTTTAATTTATTTTATTTGGGTGTACCTCAAAAGGATAATTTGAAAAAAAAAAAAGAAGGGATATGTTGGGAATAAATTATAACCTTAAATAATTTAATAAGACATACTAAAAAATTGGATTCACTTAAACAGTTTTTTGAATATAAATCAATGTTGTGCGGGGAGCAAATATTCAGGCAAGCCCGCACTCCTTATTTCTAAGCTCCGTTTCTATCCGATCACCTGCGTGCACAACAGCGGTAAGCTACTCAGCGGTGTGTGGCCGGAAAACCCCTCCGACGATCAAGTTAGCACACACCTGAGGATGGAGAGAGTGAGGAGAGAGTTGAGTGTAAGTATTTCTCTTACCAAATGTTCGTGTGTCCAGCATGGGGGGCGCAGACTTGCTTATATACCTTCTGCGCCCCAAATCTACTCCCAGTGATCTCTCGACACGTGGTTCTGCTACCCTATCTGTCAGCACAAATCTTGCTGAACATCACCTACCCGACTGCCAGCCCACTCTTCTGGGAGCTCAGTAGCCGGGCTTCAACATCTCGGCTGTCAACGACCACGCTGCAATTTATGCCCAGGTGCCGCCCACAACCGAGCTCCTTTCTTGCCGTGCTCTACTGCATTCCGGCGAAGCCAAGCTTGAGATTAGTCATACCGGTCAACCAAAGTCCTTCCTGCCGAGCTTCAGGCATGAGCCTTATCGCCGAGCTATGGATGCGTGCTCTCCAACCGCGCAACGCATAAACCGTGGAACCTTTACTTGACCGGCCTTCGCGCTGACAAGGTAAAGTAGCTCGGTTCCACATGCCCTTGCTATTGCCGAGTAAAAATCACTTATGGGTGGACCTGGGATACCACGGCCCAAATGTGTTCGGCCCACAATTTGCCTAGTATTACCTCGGCCCAATCCGGACCATATTTTTCCCTCTCAATTGCCCCTTAATTCCGTCCGCGCCAGCGTGACCGGGATTACTTGTCCAGACCGGGATAAACTCTTCCTTTGTCTATAATTAGCAAGAGGCAAACTGGGCTAATTCCCGCGCTCGGTTCCTTGTCTTGCTCGGTCGACGCCTCGTTTGACCTTCCTGCATCTTTAACTCTAACGCTGCCATTAATGGGGTCACGTGTTAATCTCCCATTGGTCCTCGAGCAGCCAACCCAGCCGTCCCCTGAAATTCAAATTTGGGCGGTTTTTCTTCCTCAATAAACATGCCCCCTCCCTCTTTGATTCATTCTCACTGACATTCCTCCGTTTCAAGCGTCTCTGAGCTCTTGCCCTTTCTCTCTCGCCATCCCTGAACTCTCATTCGAAAAAGGAGCCTCTGCCTTTCACTGGTAAGTCCCCCAGCCCTTGTTATTACTGTTTTCATTTCGTATTTTTCTTCTTTATAGCACCAAATCCGTAGGTTTTAGGGCCTTCCCCATCCAAAACCTTTAATGCCCCTTAGTTTCTTCACTGTTCTTCAATTTCCCTGATGAACAATGAAGATCTGGGGCGGACCGGGCTCCAGATCTTCATCTGATCCAAAAAATCACTCAGACCGAGCAAATCTTTAGTTTGTCCCAACCTTAGGAGAAACCGGGGTAGCAAAAAGGACTTGGCCGCTCGACCGGGCTAATCTCTGGTTCGCTTGGGCGACCGAGCTCTTTGGCTAACCTTTACGACCGAAGTGGTTTGGCATAATCCACGACCGAGCTCAACTCTAGCTCGTTTTGCGCGACCGCGCTCCCACTTACAATTACCCTCCGTTTTCCTGCAGAGTCCGAGGGGACCAAAGACCAATTCTGAGGCTCTCAAGGACCGAGCAGCCATTAATTCCCAGCCTGTGCCAAACCACCTCAGCCGAACTAAATTAGTTAGTCGCACATGGGGAAATTTCGCTTCCTTGTGGACACACCTGCTGCCTTGGCCGCCTTCAGGGAAAAATACGGTATCCCGACAGATGTCCATTTAGAGCTCGCCGAGATGGAAACAAC